TCTCTATTTTAATAAAAGGTGTCCACCAGCTTCCTCCGGCCCATTGATCAAGCCCAATATCTACTGCTTGCCTATATATTTATTGATATAAGAACTTGAGATATGAAAAAACGCATCTTCAGATACTTCTAAGAAAGTTTACAATAATGACCCTATATTGAAGTTTACTGTGAAGAAATTTTACTACAATTACTCAAAACCCTAAAATGACCCTTTTTTGACAAAATTCAAACTTTTTTTTGCGTTGCAGAAGACACAAAATGACGTTTTTGAGCTCTTTTTGAAAATTGTTGACCAAAAAATTGCTTATTATGATTTGTCAACAAACGAGCCATTTGAAAAGTTTCAACCAAAATGGGTATAAATTCCACTTCAATCTGTATAATGAAAAAATGAATAATTATTTGAAAAAGATTTCAATCTATATAAGAAAATGATTTCAACGCTGAACCAAATCGTTTTTTCTTTGTTGAGTCTTTTTTCGCTTAACGAATAACTATCACCACTGTCTTGCTGCGCTGCTATTGAAAATTAGGATCTCTGCCCGGAATTCCCACTTATTATCTGCTTTGTTACTTCGGCACATACACTCTGTCTGGATCGGGAGCTGGAAGCGGACTCCTGTCCGGCTGTTCGATGTTGCTGTGGACCAAAGTGATGCTGTACACCGAGCTCAAATCCAGGGTCGATATTTTCCAACATCTTCACAATCTATCACTTAGGTGGCATCTTGGTAAGAAACAAACGCTTATTGGCCAAAATATCTACCCATAAAACTTCCGTATAAGAAACACTTTCTGTGTTTATACCACTCCATACTACGTACAGAACATGTTTGAAATTGCATGAAAATATAGAGATTCCATGCTATGAAAATTGTATGACAAGCAAACTTCTCTACATGAAAGTTATGTGATAGACCTATTTCTAAAAATGAAATTTAACATTTTTGAGAGGCTCGTTTTTTTCGTATCATATAAGAAAACCCATAGGTTAAATGGAAATAACTTCACAGATTTTCTGCATTTTCAGATTTGACATCGAATTTGATATAAAATTTCACTGAGCTATTAAAAAAGCTTTAGTGATGGAAAATCAAAGCCTGTTCTCAGACTAAAGATAAAAACGAAACTTAAATTTGGCTTCACACAAACAGTTTTTCGCAACAAACATTTTTTCAAGTATTTTTTTTCTATTGGAAAAAAGCGCTTCATACAAATTTCATTTCACAAATCATTATTGCATGAAAAACATTTTTCAACAAAATAAACGAACTTTTGAAAGGCAAATGAATTTAAATCATAGGAAAATCATGTTATATTCATTAGAAACTACGTTAAAAAATGTATTAATGAAGCATGCTTATCTGACAAATTTTATTAATTTAAATTGTTTGGTGAGCATTTTCCAACCAAAACAGGGCTTTTTTGTAATAATCAGAGAAATTTAAAGCAATGAAAATCATGTGTCGAATCAATCTTCTCCTTTTGAGTTTTCAATTACTTTAGTTGCCATGTTTTGTTTCCAACTTCATGTTTCAATCAAAAGTTACAAAGATCGCACGTTTACAAATGATAAGTCACGAATGGCTCGAGCAATCAACATTATAAAATATTAAGGTCAATAACATCCTCGGCGTAGCCCTTAGTATTTTCCTTAGGAGTTTAACGGCGGGTCGAGAAATTATACATAGCCATCATTTTATCACGCACGAACGCGCTCTGCAGTCAGATCCGGTGAAAGTCTCGATAATCCGCCCAAGTGGCCAGTTCCTACGAGGGTTGAAGTCCTCCAGTATCCATACGAGGTCTCCAGTTTTGATGAAATCCTCTGGCCGTGACCATTTCGTGCGCTGGATAAGTGTCGGAGCATATTCTTTCAGGATTCGGCGCCAGAAGCAATCCATCTTCTCCATCGTACTCTTCCAGGTCTTTGAGGACAGCTTAAAGGGTTCACTGGTCGCTGAAGGCCACTGAGGGTGTGTAGACAAACGGTCTGCCTAGAAGGAAACGTTTTGGTGCTGAAGGTCGTCCGCGACATCACTGCTAACGTGCGTCAAAGGTCGTACATTCGAAAATCTTTCGGTTTCGCCAACGATCGTGATGAAGAGATCTAGAGAGAGGCGTGCAGACCCAAAATTAAGAAGGAAAACTTGTTTAATCGTCTGAACGAGTCTCTCCCACACACCACCAAAGTGAGGAGCAGAAGGCGGATTCATTTTCCAACTGATGTTCTGGTGCTGAAAATAGCTCACTATCTCTCTATCAAAATACAGTGGCTCCGAACGTGACTGCGTTGTGCTCCGATAAAATATGACGCCCTGTCCGAGAGAAGGCGTTGTGGTGAGCCTCGACGAGCTATGAAACGGCGGATAGCTGTTACGCAACTGTCCGTTGTCAAGCTTTCTGCCGTTTTCAAATGCATTGCACGAGTCATAAAGCATGTGAACGGGCAGATATATTGCTTGTTCGATGAATTTCCGGCAATTCGAAAAGATCAAATGTAATCAATGCAGACATTTTTGAACGGACGAGGTTTTTCTTCTGGAACCGAAAAGCAAATTGGGGGAAGTTCTGACATCAAGACGCTTAGCTCTCTTCCTTGGAATCGCTGACAAAAGAAACAGAAATTGCTCCAAGGCTTGGCGCAAGCTTATAATGACAAAAATTTGTTGAAGATAGTTGCGAACATGTTTTGTTCCTTGATGCATGCAATGACAGTGAGCGTGTTCGACTAAAAGACCCACAGCAGGTTCTTCGGAATTGAGAATACTAGGGTGCTTTGCAGCATCGGGAAGCGTGGAATGTCGGAGACATCGCCTAGCGTTCAAAATGTTCTGCTCTAACAACGGTAAAAGTTGTTTATAAAACGTTTTTTTATTAGTTATAATTTTTCCTTGTTTCAACCGTTTTAATGTCTCCGGAAAAGGAAAAGATTTTTTTTTGAGACATTTCACAGATAATGGATTTTGCTGACTCTCACTGATGCCTTTCATGGAACTTTGTTCCGTTGTTTTTCAGCAAGTTTTTGAATATAACAACCATTGTTGCTACCCTAAGTAATTTTCGCCAATTCGAAAATCGCAAGAAGTCGATGAGAGGCTGAGAGTTCTGTAATCTTGAGTTGACGAAAGTTGCTTCACGATATTGGGGCTTAAACCAAATTGATTCAGGTTGCAGCGGAAAATTCGGAGGCTGGAGCCAGAGATTATCTACATCTGAAATGGCAATGCCTCTTGTAGAAAGATCAGCCGGCTTACTTTTTCCATAGATATGATTCCATTGCGTTTTTCTTGAAAAAAGAGAGTTTCGTTTACTCTTTTTTCGTTGAAGAAGCTCGGGTTAACCAACTTTAAGGAAAATTTGACAATGAAAGTGACAATGAAGCTGGGTTGAACCAACTTTCAATTAGAACGTTTGCTGTTACCAAAACATGAGGAAAGTTGAGGACGACTAGCCAGCGAGACAAAAGCTGATCGAAACCAATTTTCAGGACAATAATTTTTTGTTACAGACAAGCGAAAAAAACTAGTGACTACTATCGAAGCGACGAAGAAACTGGGTATAAACAACTTTAAGGAGAAAAGTTTGTTCTGACAAACGAACAAAAAAATGGTAAAACACTAGCGAAGCGACGAAGAAGGATTGTTGAACCAACTTTCAATTGGAATGTTTGTTCTTAGGGACAAATTGAAAATGCTAGAGGCTACTAGCGATGTTACAATCAAACGTGGTTTAACCAACTTAAAGAACAAAGGTTTGCTCTGTCGAGCAAACGAGAAAAACTAGAGGTGACTAGCGAGCATGAAAAAAGCTGGGCGGAACCAACGTTGAAGACGAAAGTTTAATCTGACGACTAAACTAGAAAGCCCGGAAGGCGACCAGCGTAAAGCTCGAAACATGCATTGAAATAAATTTGTAAGGTAAGAAAAGCTCCGATAAATTGAAAAACATTTTGTTGAAGCGGAACTTGTAAGTCGTTCTAGTATTTGTCGTAGGATGCCGAAGCATTGTTTCGTTCCTGACGACAGCCTGCGTTTCTTATACAAAAAAAATACCGTGCGTGATTTTGCCCAAAAAAGTTCTAGTGGTATTAAAAATTTCTCAATAACAACGTTTCTTTGTGTAATTTTAAAAAAACCAATAAAGCTTTCAAATTTTTAGCCCTTTTTGAAGTTATTCTGAACCTCAAGTACCCAAAATTTTGGTTATGTTGAGATGAGTTATGAACTGTACAGCGCTTTTTTCCGAAAACTGAATGACAATTGGGTTTTACAAATTCCTAAACAAGATTAATTATACCCTAACCAACTTTTGTTTTGAACCCCGAGGTGTTGTTAATGTATTAAATTGAAACACCAAAATTAGAACTCAATTTTTACACATAATTTATCAGACTCTAAAATAAATTGACATTGGCAATTTAAAACGCCAAAACTCATCACAAACACCATTAACTCTTTTATTAGTGGAAGGCAATGAACATTAAAAATGCAGAAAAAAAGGAGTTTTCCGGCCTGATCTAAACATGTAGTAGGATTTCTGGTTGTGTAATACTTCTACTGTTGAAGTATTCGGAAATTGTCATGTTATCGGATGTGTAGCACTACTGATTTAATAATTCGAAAAACTTTGCAATTTTGAAAAACTTCAGTCCTTTCCAGATTGACCATCGGAAACTAGAAGGACCTCAAATCAGTAGGTCGCCATGAATATCATGTGTCGAATCATTCTTCTTGTTTGATTTTTTTGAAGTACTTAAGCAGCCATGATTTGTTTCCAACCTTATGTTTCAATCAAAAGTTTCAAATGCACACGTTTACAAATGAGAAGAGTTTGTTTTTGCTCTTTCACACATGTTCTTTGGCGACAAGACATGATTGAAAAAAGAAATCGTTTGCATAGTTTTGAGCACTTTTCACAATATTCCGGGCCTTTTTTTGAAAGAAGCCCGATTATAACAATTGAAAGAGCAAAAACGGCTTTTTGTCCTTTCCCCCACCTGCAATTTATTACAAGTAAAATTACTGTTCCCACCAACCGATTAACAAAAAAATCGCATGCGGACAAATCGGGCCATAAAAAACATATTTGGTCTTCATAATTAACCTTGGAAAACTACTCATTACGTCGTAAAATTGATGCTCATTCAAAGTGGGGGGGGGGGGGGGGGGAAACGAGCCGCAAAAACAAACAGAAAGAGCAAAAAAAATACTCTTCAACAGTTAGAACATAGTTGAAGATAGCCTCGGGCAAAAGAGACGCAATCGGTGAAATCTCACAAAATTTTATCATAAAAAATATTTACCTTATTTTTGATCATGAGAATTTTGAATCACAGTTTTGGAATCGATACAGAAAAAAGGCCTCTGATGGTTGGAAACATTTTTTTTGGATCAATTTGAGCACTTTTTTTGCTCATCATTAATAAAACTGAACTGAGAAAAGCCCCAAACTGGGCAATTGCAATTGTTAGCACAACCCAGGCGCGGATCTAGAAATTTCTCGAGGATGGGGCGGATTCCCCCCCCCCCCCCCCACAGTTTACTTTACCCCCAAGCTGCAGCAAGCTGTTTATTTATCGCTCCTCCCATATTTGCTTTACCCCCCCATGCCCCCCCCCCCCCCAGTTTACCTTACCAACCCCAGTTTAGTTTATTTTACCCCCCTCCCCTTTTTACTTTAGCCCCCCTCCCCCCAGTTTACCCCCTGTCAGTTTATCCCCCTTTAGTTG